CTGAAAAATCACAAACAAACATGAATACCTTTTATGATTTCACGCCTTTTTTCTCAGTTTTCACAATGCGAGTATTTATCATGCTTCTTAAACTGTTTCTTTTATTTGATTGGCAATGAGCTACATGACTATTATTTTTTTTATAAACATCAACATAATCATAATTGCTCATCATTAACATTTTTCTTTGCTTAACGGATACAGTTGTAATTATACTGCATTGCAACGTCTGCTACCACAGATCTTTAGATTGTTTCTATTATTTCTACAATCATCATCACATCATCTGTTTTTTGTACGATGCTTATCACTGTTGTACCTGTGCTCAATGACATGAAATAATAATCCCAATCTTTCACATTGAAACTACTGCAACTACTACTTTTAATACTACAACTGTTAATGATAATAATAATAATAACACAACAATGGCATTAATAACGATAATAACAATATTAGCAATTACAACAATAATAATGATAAAGATATCAATAATAATGATCATGATAATGATGAAAATGATAATGATAATAATGATAAAAGTAATGATAATATTGATAATAACAATAATAATGATGATGATTATAATGTCAATAATAAGGATAATGAGAATAACAACAATAATAGTAATGATGATTATAATAAGAGTAATAATAATGATAATAATAATAATAATATAATAATAATAATAATAATAATAATGAAAATAATAATAATAACAGCAACAGCAACAACAATAATAACACAATGATGATAAGGATAATAATGTTGATAACAACAGCAATGATAATAAGAATAACAACAATAATGATAATGATAATACTGATAACAACAATGAAATAATGACAATGATAACAAAGAGGTAATAATAATAACATTAATATGGTAACAATAGCAAAAACATCTACAAAAACAACAGCAGCAATAATAATGATAAAGTATATAATAGTAATAGTAATGATGATAGCAATGATAATAATAATGATAATTACAATAATAGGAATAATGATGATAATAATGATAACAATAATGATAATGATAATAATATTTGTAATAGGAATAATGATAATGATAATAACAATGATAATAATAGTAATAAAAACATTACTACTAATGATGAGAATAAGAATAATGGTAACGATAATAACTGTAATAACAACAATGACAATGACAGTGATAATAACAATAATAATAACAATAACGATAATTATGATAATGACAACAATAAAATCAATGATGAATGATAAAGACGATGATAGTAATAATAATGATAATAGTAATAATAACAACAACGGAAATAGTAATAACAATGATAATGATACTACTGCTCTTACTACTGCTACTACTGCTATCAATAATAATAATGATAATAATAATAATATCAATAATTAAAATGACAATTATGATAATAATAATAACAATAAAATTATAATGATAAGAATAAAAAATAATGATAATGAAAATAATAGTAATGATAATAGCAACAATAATGATAATAATGACAATAATGATAATAACAACAAAAACGATAAAAACAACAACAGTAACAATAATAGTAATAATGATAATAATGATAATAACAATAACAATAATTACACTGATAATGATGACAATAACCATCATTATTACAATCATTATTACAATGATAATGATAATAAGTAATAATGAAAATAGGGCTCATGACAATAACACATGACAATGATAATGATAATAATAACATTAATAATAAAGATAATGCTGATAATAATAATAATAATAACAATAATGATAAAGATAATAATAATAATAATAATAACAACTAAAATGACAACAACAATAATAATGGTAATAATAATAATACTGATGATGATGCTGAGGCTGATGATGATAATAATGATAATGATAACAACAATGATAATAATGATACTTATAACAGTAGTAAAAAAAATGCATCAAAAATAATAAAAGGATAGATAGAAATAATTTTCTTAATGATGACTCAACAAATAACCATAATGATAATAATAATAATAATAATAGCAATAATGATAATGCTCATAATAATGGGAATGATAAAAGTAATAATAATGCTCATGATAATAATATCAGTGATAATAACGATAATGATAATGTTAATGATAATATCAATAATAAGAATAATGATAAAATGATAATGATAATACAAATAATATTAATAATGATAATAATAATGAAATTTATAATGCTGATATAAATAACAATGATACTAATAACAATGATAATAACAATAATAAAGAAACACCAGGGACCATCATATTTATTGGGCGACGTTTCGGATTAATAACTTACAACCATTCTCAAGCCAATCTAGTGGGAGAAAGTACACTATAAGGAAACTATAAAATAACATAAAAATCCTGTGGGCGTTACAAAATTAGATAACAAAATAAACTAATAAAACAAGTAAAAAGGATAAAACTAAAGTAATACTAAAATGTTAAAACACAAAAAAATATGATAATAATAATAATGAAAATTATGATGATGATAATGGTAATGGTAATAATGAAAATAATGCAAATGACAACAACTTTAATAATGAAAATAAAGGTAATGATAACAGCTGCAATAGTAATAATGGACAAAGATAATGATGGCGATGATAATGAAAAAAATATCAATGATAATGATAATGAAAATGATGATGGCAATAATGATAATAATTTTAATGATACTAATATTAATAATATAAATTATATTGATAATGACATTGATATGATGAAAACAATAATAATAAAAACAATAATGTTGATGATGTTAATAACAATGATAATGATCGATGATAATGATAATAATAATAATAATGATAATAATAATAATAATAATAATATACTAATACTAATAATGATAATAATAATAATAATAATAATATACTAATACTAATAATGATAATAATAATAATAATAATAATAATATACTAATACTAATAATGATAATGATAAAAATAATTATAATGATGGTGATGATGATAATAGAAATATAAATGATAATAATAATAATAATAATAATAATAATAATAATAACGATAACTACAGCAACAACAATAATGATAATGATAATTCCAACAATATTCATATATATGATAATAATAACCATAGAAATATTTAGATAACAACAATAGTAAAGAAACAAGAACAATAATAATATTAAGTACAAAAAGAATAATAACAATGATAATAGTAATAATAATAATAATAACAATTATAATAATGATAATAAAAATATCAATAATGATAATGATAATAATAATGATAATAGTAACAATTGCAATAATAATAACAACAATGCTAATAATTATAATGATGATAATAATAATAATAACAATAATAATAATAATAATAATAATAATAATAATAATAATAATAATAATAATAACAAAAATAATGATGACAATAGTAATAATTGCAATAATAATAACAATAATGCTAATAATAATAATGATGATAATAATAATAATAACAATAATAATAAAAATAATAATAATAATAATAATAATAATAATAATAATAACAATAATAATAATAATAATAATAATAATAACAATAATAATAATAATGATAATAATGATAATAATAATAATAATAATAATAATAATAATAATAATAATAATGATAATAATAATAATAATGATAACAATGATGATGATGATGATAATAATAATGATAATAATAATGATAATAATAATAACAATAGTAATAATAACAATAATAATAACAATCATAATGATATCATTATTAGCAATGATACTAATAGCAATAACAATAAGAAAAAATAATAACAATAGGAATAATAACAACAGTGATCATAATCACACTGACAAGAATAACAATGATAGAAATAATAATAACACAGCAACAACAAGAACGATAATAAAATCAGCGAAAAAATTATAAGATCAGTAATAATAAGGATATAATGATAATTACAACAACAAAAACAATGATGATAAAATAATACCAATAAGATAATAATGACAAGAATAACAATAATGACAATAGAAGCGAAAATGATAACACTAACAATAACAAAAACAATAATGATAATAATTTAGAAAAAAGAAACAAAGATTTATTCATAACTTTTTGAGTTACCCTGCAAACCAACGAAAAAATTAACTACCAAAGACATAACCTCCTTGGCGGAGGTAATAAGGATAAAAATGATAACAGTAATGACAATGATAACAATGATAATGATTGTAATCATCATAATAACAATAATAATGATAGTAATCTTCATAATAACAATAATGATAATAAAAATATTACTACTAATAATAGTATTGATAATAATAATAATAACGATGATGATGATAATAATAATGATAATGATAATAATTATACTACTACTAATAATAATGGCAATGATATCAATATCAATGATAATAATAGTGATCTTATTAACAGTGATATTATCATCAGTACTATTGATGATGATGTTGATGATGAAGATGATAATAATATTAATGCTAATTATAATAACGATAATAATAGTAATAATGATGATGATAATAATAATGATGATAATAATAATAATAATAATAATAATGATAATAATAATAATAATAATAATAATAATAACAATAATGATAATAGTAATAGTGGTAATTATAATAATAACAAATAATAATTATGATACTACTACTACTACTATTACTATGATAGTAATAATAATGATCATTAGAAAAATAAAATAATAACGATAATAATAATAATGATAATGACAATAATAACAGTAATGATAATAATAATGATAATAATATAAAAAATAATAATGATTATGGTGATAATAATGATAACAATGATAATGACTGACAATAATAATAATAATAATAATAGCAGCTATAATTATTGATAATAATAACAATAACAACAGCAACAACATCAGACTAATGCTAATAATCTTTATCATTACTACTACTATTGAAAAATATATACATAATTACAAATATGAAAATAACAATAGTAGTAATGAAATGAAAA